ACTGTGATAACAATAATCAAATGTGACAAACCTACATTTAATCGTTTCTTATATATCAATAAACCCATGACACAGCCGACGCTCAAAATGAAGAGCGAAATAAAAGTCGGTAATAAAATGTTTAGATATGAATGTGCTTGATTTTCGTCGGTCGTTATTTTCTGCAAAACAAAGCGAAATGCTCAATATGAAATAAGAAATATTTATCAACTGTCAGGTAATTTTTCTCGGCATTTTAATGAGTATTGATGAACAAAGTGAATAAGACAGGTTGTTTCAAAAATAGTCGTTCGGACGTTGTAATTACCGAGCAACTTTTCTAGATCATTTACTATTAGCTTGACAATCAGTGTGAAATTATTCACTCTCCTTCAACTGACTGATCACGTTTTATCCTGACGAACTTTTCATACTGCTTTTTTCATGGAATCACATTTCAGATGACAAATGACAGAGTAATTGGTCTGAAATCCCGTGTTACGAATTCCTTACAAACGTTGACAATTCATAATTTCAAACAGCATGCTTTCACACACCAAATATCGGTTCAAAACGTTGAAAGATAATTCAGAGCAAATCTCATAGATAAGCAGTTTCAAATCATTGCGCATCAGATCGGTAGGTTTATTACTACCTTTCAACAATTATTTCGCGAATCTCTCACTATTTCCTTGAAAACAACTTTATCTCAAAATAATAAAATTTTCGAAACATTGACCTGACCCAGTCAATAAGACGTGAATGATGTACATTAGTCAGTTCATACTAGTGAAATCGTACGACTAAACAGATGTGAAATGATGAATTTTTAACGAGCACAAATAATCTTTTAAGCTCATCAGCTACTTACATTACATTTGCGTTGTTCCCATTTGGCGGCATACATGTCCTTTTTGTTACTGCAAATATTTGCAGTTGAACACCAGTGACATTGTACATCGGATGTTGTTGCGTGTCGACATGAATTACGTGAACGTTGTCTAAAACAATAACCTTTAAAAAAGTCAGTTGAATGCAGTTAGGGCTCTTAAACGAAAATGAAACTGATAACAGAAATTATAGCTAGAAATCAAGAATGCTGCATCTTGAGTAAAGTGACTATTTCACTGACTAGATAGTTTACCCAAGCTAGCATGATGCGATGTCCGAAACTTTTTCCAGGAGATTCTCATTTCGACACAATATGTTTCAATAGAACAGACGTAAATCGAACGTTCAATGTGAAGGGTGATTAATAATGGTCGAAAAATCATCAAGTTATCTAATGTTTCCCCCATTTGTAAAAATGATATCCTGATAATTGCGATCACAATAAACCGGTAAACCTGGACTTAAAACTCAGCTTAGCTGGGTGCCAATTAGGCATTGTGTTTCAAGAGGAAACGTCATTCACAATTTCAATAAAAAGTCATAGATTATGTATAAGCGATTCCACTGAATGTCATTCCAGTAAATGAGCTACGTGAATCGACCGGATTGTTCATAGCATCTTACAGTGTCGTCGCTGGTTTATTTCTTTTCAAGTCAGTCAATCCATGTACAAATATGTTTGAGTCATCGACGATTCTAAAACTTTTTCAGCGGGAGCAAAGGCTATTTTATTGAACCCCTTTTTACTAGACATCTCAATCTGGAACATTGTTGCAGGTTTCAGAATTTTCTATTTACAACTGTCTAGCTGATCCAATATGAATTACATGGTAAATAAACCTCAGGTGATCTTTTGTTTTTTTCAAGTTTTGGAAATGTCATTCCGACAGTGGTGAACACGATGAATCCAAAATAACATAAACGCACACACTGTGAAAAATCATATAGTGCAATATCAATAACAGCTTTTGTACAACGCAGTTATCAACTGAATTAGATAAAAAGCATTTGGCAGATATCATAAATTCACAAATTTTATAGAAACTGTTCAGTTAAAAGTCAGCTCAATACATTTCAATATAGTTTGACTCGTTCAACAATGAAAGGATAAAGAACTTATGGGTGGATCATACGCTAATTAGGATGATTCAATGACCACTGATTATTCTCCGAAAAAATTACCTCACGGAAATTTCAAATTAGTTGAAAGAAAAAATTCCTTGGTGGGTCAGTGATTTATGAAAATGAAATTTACCAATTTCACGTACTTGTCGTTGGTTCAAACTCCACTAACGTGCGACGGGCAATCCAGGATTTGGGAATATGTATTTCATTGTATAAGATAGTTCCGTCTTTGGTCCAATGTGATGAATAGAAGAAGACAGTAAGAAACTATTGATTTCACATATCAAAATTATAAACAAGAATGTACAAATTGATTTTCGCTAGACTCAGTGAGGAGACATCATTCTTGATCAAATGTTTGTGTGCGCTTGCAGATTTGATAACAAAACAAAGAATATGCATAAATAATTCTACGGAATGTTATTCTGATAAATGAGCTCAGTGTTTATACCGAGAATGTTTAAATCACATGACAATATCGTTGCTTGTTTATTCCTTCTTCAAGTCAGTCAATCGTGATACAAATAGGTGTATTTCTTCGAAAATTCTAAAACGCAGTCACCGGGAACATAAGTTATTTTATGGTTGATTTTTTACCAGGCTTCACAATGTGGTGTATTATTCCAGCATAGTTTCCAGAATATGCTAATCACATTTGATTAGTGAATACAGAACTGCTCAAACAACCCACAGAGGTTAAAGAAAGTATGGTAAGACACTGGCCTACTAGACACAAGGAATGACGGACTAAATAAAACTTTAAGGAAACCACTAACATATAATTATGTGTCTCTTACTTTCGCACTGGAACGAAGCGTAAATCCTTGCATTGAGTTCATGTCGTTCATCGTATACTATTACCTGAAAAAAGAAATCCGTCATTATTTAGTAGTAAGTTCACATTAGGCTGTATACTCATTTCCCTTAGATAATTGTGATTTTGAATACAGGCATTTCAACGAAGTGTAAATTTTTGCATTGAGCCTGTTTCTTTCATTGTCTCCGGTAAACTGAAAATAAGGAAATCTGTCAATATTCAACCTGATATATATTAAGTTCACAGTAGTTTGAATACTCATTATGATTTGCAATCTATACATTCTGACTGTTTGCGAATTTGTTGCCATAATTAAAAATTGTGTCAACATGCTGCAATCTATATACCTCAAAATGAAGTATTCGTTGAGGAATGTCCGAGTTAACTGATCACCTCTTATACGAAACACAACAATCCACAAGACATTTTCGGTTTAACTGTCTATGCAAAGCTGTTCAATTCACATCATCTGTTGCTGAGTGATCTAATCAATCACGCTACAACAGTAACATCGATGATATGTTAGAATATGTATGTTCAATCCGAAATGTAAGACTCATTCTACTTTGTGGAAGAAACTTTTACACGTAATTCAATAATGAAATACGTAGCAGAATCAACTTAAAATGAACACTTCCATTGCCACTTTAGTGTATTCAGTAGTGTAGCTTACCCTTTCAAAGAATATAGAAAATTTTCCATTTGGATATATTAACACATATGTTTGAAATCTGACTGTAGACAAACGAACAAAAAATGTCAGATAAATCAACAAAATTGTGTTTTTGAATGAGATATTGTATTCTCGCTCAATCAGTGACCAGATTTCATAAGAAAGCCACAATGTTTCACTGAATGTTCACCTTCTGTCTAGTAGCATGAACTGAACCACAACACTGTACATTAACCTGGATAAATGCACCACTGTTATTTTAATGGATAATCTCTACCAGTGTTCATGCAATGAGTGAACGTGCTGATCACTAATCATAGATAAATATCAAATGCTCACAAATGGCTCTCTGACGTTCACTATTCAGAAACTCGTTATTTTTATCGAATGACTGGTCAACCAACTCACATTTATTTTCATCAAAATAAGGCGATTTCCGCACTCATTTTCAAACGATGGAAATAATGCTGTGGTTTATATAATTCAATGTAGTGTGACAACTATTCGCAGATATTGTTCAAACTCTGTTCTATAATTCACTGATGTTGTGTTTAGACAAAGAGAATATTTTGTGGATTATCCGGCTCTTAACTTTAACACATGTAAAAAATCCACAATATTTGTCAATTTTAAGACTGAATTGTGTGAACCTCTACTGAATCACTCTGTTTGTTTGATAGAACTTACCTGGTGAAGTAAGAAGCAATATAAAGCAATCGATATTGCTTTCTGAAATTATAACAGTAAATAATATCTAGTTATGTGTGAATTAGTGAAAAGTGATTTACTATATCCCTTCACATTTACTGATTTCAATACAGAATCCGTTTGTACAAGATTTTCGAATTACCTAACGAGATTCTAATAAACGTAGTTAATAATTGAGTTTCTAGCACCATTATTTCGATGACAAGATAAATGCTTTCAGTCTTTCGACTGACAATGATGTTAACACTCTGTGCGTTTTGAGATCTCAGGATAGGCTCAGAGGTCTATTTTATGTTTGCGACAATGACCCAAGAAATTTTAATTCAGGTTGAGACTATTCTACCATACGTATGGCTGAAGGCGTTTGATATCCAGTTAATCCACTTTGTTATCTCAGACCGATCGTCATTACTATCTGCATTTTCGATCAAGAAACCACATAAATTTCAGTTCTAGAAGACGATGAGGTGAACTTCGCAAAAGCTTTTCGTTATTGTCATGCTATTCACAATCCTCTTTCACTTTCTTCAATATGAGGTTTAATTTCAACATCCACGAACAAATATTTTCAATGTTTCTTTAATCTGACAGCATTTATGTGCATTAGAATATCTATCTCCATTTTACGTCAAAGAATTTAATACAAAAAGCACATGTTCATATTTCAAATAACGCATTCGGTTTGCGAAAGAAAGTAATTTTTCTATGTTAACCAGTAGTATTCTCAAAATAAATCAAAATACTTCGAACATATGTGCAAAATCTGAATAGGAGAAATGAGAATGTTATTTATTCTGTGGAACTTACCAGTTAAACTGCAAGAGAATAGTGATGTCTTTGAAGAAATCGTTGATAAAATAATTCCGCCGCTAGTTATTTCGTTTCCAGGATTGTGAAACTGCATTTTGCCTGCGATTAATTTATGAATGAAAAAAAACAGTTAGATAATCTGCTGTCTCTTCCGGGATTATGATAATGTCGTTTCAGTGAAATAATTATCATTATGAGTCCCGAAAGAATTCAACTTTACGATATTTTTAGACAGAAACAGTTTTGGTTGAAAGAATTATCCACTTACCAGAATTGTCTAAACTGAACGAATCATATCGTTCTCCGAAAAATTCGATTGGAAATGGAGATTTATAAATCTATTAAATACCGTTCATTGATATTATTAGTTCAAGGAATCTAGTTCAAAATCTCACTTGTCCAGGATTCATTTGACGCCTTCCAGAAATTACGCTTGAATATTCTGAATTACGACGTATAACTTGTGTATAATAATAGTGGTCAGACTGCGTATATGTAATAATCACTAACTGATATGTTACTTTACGGATTGATTCATTTATAAAACTTATGTTTTCATAATATACTGGTAGGAAGTTGACGAACTGTTCACACACATCGTCACTTTTCAAGAACTTCAAGAGTATGGCACCGACCAAATACAATGATATCAGCCATCCGGATAATGCTGTATTCCTGAAAAAAATCAAAATGAAAAATATTGTTATTTTAGTTGTAGTATTTTTTCATTCACACAAACGTTTTTTGTCGATACTCACCTCATCTTCTTGTTCACACTACGAATTCAATGTTGCGCGTAATCATCATGCTTATATGCATAATGCCAAAGTGATAAGTGATTTATTACTGGATAGTCTAAAACAACCAATAAGTGAACAAACATTAATACAATCATTTGTTTTGCGTAAATCAAACATCGTGGTAAATAAATATATCATTGTCCAATAAACTCATCTGACTGCGTAATCAATTAATCAGATGAATCATGTAGAAAATATCGATCGATCGTAGAAACATTTGTCGCTTTACGTCGATCACTTTATTCAGCGGACTACATAAGTGCCATGTGATTTGAACATTGAAATTAAAGTTCGTCAATTCAACAAGCAGATGTGAATTATCCTAATCACGTTCGTTTCCCAATAACATTATGATAAGTTCGTCACTTAGTATGCTTGAAGCTATTACGAATTCACCGTAGTCGATAAATGCGAACGAGACAATTACCAGCATCCAGATAGGCTACCTTGAATCCCAAGATGAAGACAGAAGGCTTTGTAAGCGTAGAAAGTATATTCTACAAACACCCAGCAATCAAAGTACAATCAAGCACACAATTCTCGGTTATTTATGCAACATAGGAACGTCCTTGAGACATTTAAGAAAATAGTACACTAAAATACACAGCAGCCAATCACAGCCATGGATTTTCCGGTCGGGAATTGAAATCTCAAGGTCATCTGATCAGCCCATGCTGGCAAAACGCGAGAACCAAAATACGGCATTATCAAGCGAATTTTGGGGATCTAACATCCCCAACAATAACTCAAATCACTTACAATTAAACTGAATGAAAGTAATAACAAAGGATTGATCATTTAAATTCTTAAAACTTCAATTTTTGATCAATTCATAACAGCAAATTAGTAAGCATTGCAAATGATCAGTGTTTTGTGAAATATTTGACTTTTTGATTATTGAATCTACGCAAGGTTGTACAGCCTGTTTCCTTCAGACCTACTTATTTCTTGATATTTAATGTCAATAACATTTAAATATTGTAAAGTTACATATCAACACTGTTCAATGATCAGGAGTTCGAGTGTTCACCATCTAGAGTGAAGATTGTGGGTTCGATTCCTGCGACCGGGGTGGTAAGTGCTTACTAAAAATGAGTCCAACACTAGAATGAAATGAATGTTCAGTGCTTACAGGATTCTAATGATGGTCTTACATTGATCGATTCATGATTTTATTGAAACTCAACAATTTTTTGATATTCTATCATGACAAATTTTAAAGCGGTTAAAGCGGTTCTTTCGTTTTGTCTCATTCATAATTTGAACTTCAAACACAACTGACGTTTTCACGATTTAATCAATGAAAAATGAAAAATATCTAAAAATTATTTAGATATGTAAATTTTAAGGGAAGACTTATATTACTTAATTACTTGTTTATTTACGCCTGTTACCGCCATAGGAGCATAGGCCGCTGACCAGTAAAATCCAACGACTCTGTTCCCATTTTAGTTCTGTTCAGTTTTCGTTTATTATTCTCATGTCTGTCTCCATTTCTCGGCGTTATGTGTCGTTCGGTCTTCCCCTTTTCTCTTAACATTGTGGGCTCAAACTGCGGGTTTGTCATGATACGCAATTGGTTGCTTTCCGCAATATATATCCTATCCACTTCCAGCGCTTCTTCCTGAATTCCTCCTCCTCTGGAAGCTATAACCAAATCGAACTGAAATTTCTTTCTACAAATACAATTGTATTATCGAATTCAATACTGTTGAAAGTTTGCTGATATTGCAAAGTAAGTGTACAGATAATTTTATCAACTAATTAGTATGATGCGAATCCATCCGGAAATATTTTTGGAGAGCATCATCTACTCTTGTCTTTCGACTCTAACCTTGAATAAGTTCAGAATGCAAAGTTCATTTGTAATTATCAAAACTAGATAGAAAGCTTGTCAAACTGTCAATTATACAAATACATCCACACAGAATTGATAATTGAATTACTATAAACACAATATTTTTACAAGAAAGTTTCAGAATAGATATGATCAGCATAATCGAAATGATAATAGGCTGATTAAACTGCAAGACTATACATGGAAGACAGCTCAAATAATCATTCCAAGTGAAAAAACGGTGTCAAACACGATTGCTCACTGTCGCCCTTTCTCTTTCGGCTGATGGTTGACTGGATAATGAGAATATCCCAGTAGAAGAAAGGAATATAGTGGATAGCTCGGATACAGCTGGACGATTTGGACTTTGCAGATGATCTAACTCCTATATCCCATGGGCAACTAAAATGCAGAAGACGATCGGTGTAGAAAAAGCCTTCGCAGCAATATGTCTCAGCATAAACAGGGGAAAAACGCAACAGTCTCCGATACAACATGACACTCACCAACCATATCACAGTTGACGGAGACGATTTAGCAGATGCGGAATTCCTCGCATACCTGTGCAGCATCACAGATAAATAAAATCGATTCAATGCAGACATGAAGTTCAACAAAGCAACAACAAGTGAACATCATCTGGAAGTCAAAACAACTGTCAAACAACACCAAAGTCCGAATATTCAGTACAAGAGTCAAACCAGTTTTATTGTATTGAGAGGAAATTCGGACAACTACAAAGGCCATTATTGACAAGACACACATGTTTATTGATAGTTAACTTCACAAAATATTGCATAGCTGTCGGTCAGACAACATCAGCAACAAATCACTGCGGCAGGGAACAAACTCGTTTCCTCCATCTGATAAAGAAATCAAGAAGAAGCCCTGGAAGTGAATAGGGCACAGATTGAAAAAAGCACCCAATGGCATCACAAAGCAAGTCCTAGCTTGAAATTAGCTAGGCCAAAGGAAAAGAGACAGACCAAGCAACACATTGCTCCGAGAATTGGAGGCAGACATGAAGAGGATGAACAGTAATTGGGAAGAACTGAATGGGAAGGCTCAAGAGAGAGTAGGTTGGAGAATATTGATCGGCGGCCTATGCTCCTTAGAGGGTAACAGGCGTAATTAATTAAAATAATAAGTAATATTCTCAACTTCCAACTTCATTTTTACCGAATGATTAATTAAAATAAACAAATTTGCCTTTATTCTGTTCCTAATTTCAAGTTAAATTTTCATTATTCACCTATCAATAATCTCGAGTCATTTGAATTAGATGATGTTACTATTTACGTTACTCCAAGAATCAATGTTCCGCCCGATTTTAATATAACCGACATATTAACGAATCGAACTGACACTACGTAAGTAGACGAGAATTTCAGTTTACTTTTGTATCGTGTGACATCTGACATAACTGGTGAAATATAATCCCTAGTAGTGAATTCACAACTTTATAATCTAATGAACTGCGATTACCTAGTTACTTACTTACTTACTTGCCTACTTATGCACTTAATTACTTACCTGCTTACTTATGCACTTACTTACTTACTTACTTACTTACTTACTTACTTATGCACTTATGCACTTACTTACTTACTTACTTACAAAAAAAGTCCACCATGACTTCAACGAAACTGAACAATCTCCACAACTTGGCGTTGACAGTTGTCATGTACCTAATGGTGACTAGCTTTTTGAGCATATTCTCGGATTTCTAGTGAGAAGCCATGACCAGTGAAGTTCCATTGTGTCGAGTGCGAGACTTCGACTTACACACTGAAGACAATGGATAAGGTCACGCAATATTGTGAATTGATTGCAGTCAAATATTAACATCACTAAATTTCGATACAGTGGTCAGGAGGTTAGGCGTTCGGGCACACAGTTGAAAATCTTTGTTTCTGTACCCACATTTGGAGTCACGAATGCATACTGCTGGTGAGTTCCATACTAGTACGAAACGTTTGTCCAGTGCAATCTGAAATCATGAAGCACTGAACAGTATTTACCGACGGATATCAGTAAATGAGGAGTGCGATTATTTTAGATAGATGGAATTTGAAAGTGTTAAATCCTTGAATTCTAACTTATATGTCACATAGTGCAATAAGGGTTGGGAAATTTATGTGTTCTAAGCTCCATTCCTTGTGACTCACTTCTTGACTTAAAATATTGATATAATGTAGTTCTGTTTGGTAAAGAGAGGTTGAAAAAGTACGATGAGACCATTTAAACTGATGCAAACATGTACCAACCAGGTTTTAAGCTTTGTGTTACTGACGAACTGACCATACCCTCTGTTATCTTGAATGTATAATCTTGAAAACTTTCTGATTTTCCAAATTACCCAACCTACTTTTAATTAATAATAAATTCTATCCTTATTTCGTTGTTTAATCTTTATTTTCCTAGGATTGCTAAAAATCAAACTGAGAAAGCTTAAATGGATTAGCAATATTTTCAAAACAATGCACCGAAAAATCTATATCTTGTCACTACAGATAATGGTTGGAAAGATCCACGAGCTACACCGACAACAATTAATCCGTATAAACCTGAATTGAACATATACACAGATAAGAATTTAGAAAATGTAAATCCATTTATTCATGTTTATATATATTTATAAAGTTCCAACATAACCGTCAAATTAAATAACCCATTATCATAAACAGTATGTTGGTGGTTGTAGGAAGTTGTCAGGAGATAATGTTTTGCACTATTTACCACTCGTTTTTAAACAGGTGCGCATATACAAATTAGTTCAGTGAACACATTGAGTAGATCGACAAAATTATCGGTAGTGGGTTTATTTGATAAGTCAGTCAGTCAGTCAGTTAAAACGCAGAATTTCGTGCGT